AACATCCTTAAAGCCAAAACTGGACTGCTTTCCTCTATTCTACCAGGGAAATCTTGGGGCCCCATTGTAGTTAGGAGGTCAGAATTATAGTGACACTGAGTGATCAGGTAGCAGCTGCAGCTGAAGGCACTGGCCTGAGAGGAGAGACAAGGTGGCACCTGTAACTCTGCTCCCAACACCATGCCAATCACTGAGTATGCGGGTGAGTAGTTTCTGGACTTCCAGATATCATGAACCAATAAAATTTCAAAATAAACTTTACAAATTTAGGACACAACTATCTCCATTATTGTATAAGTTAAATAAAAACAGTAACATAGAAACGTTTGAATAGCTTCAGATTTCTTAATGGCTCATGATATAGACTTTATTTTTCTCATTTTGCCTTGGAGGGACTGATGCTTGGAAACCACTGGACAGAACAGTCTTAGGGATTTATTTCCTTCCCAGTGCTTACTACACGCCATGCCCTGTCCTAAGAGCTAGGGATACACTCAAGTGTGAAAACAACCCTGCCCAAGAAGACCTTACATCAGAGAGATACAGGAGAAAGCTGAGAGGTGCTGTCACATGGTATGCACAGGTGTTAGGTGAGCACAGAGAGTGGGTTTTGTTTGGTGAGAATGGAGTGGAACAGTAGGGAGGGCTTGGGGGTCCTTCCCAGGGTCTTGATTTCCATGCTCATACTTAGAAGGGAATGGGGGGGAGACAGTGCTTAGAGTTCAGATAGAATTGGATTCCAGATCCTGTTCTATCACTTGTGAGCTTCAGCAAGTTTTTAAATCTCTCTGGAACAGTAGGGAGGGCTTGGGGGTCCTTCCCAGGGTCTTGATTTCCATGCTCATACTTAGAAAGGAATGCGGGGGAGACAGTGCTTAGAGGTCAAATAGAATTGGATTCCAGATCCTGTTCTATCACTTGTGAGCTTCAGCAAGTTTTTAAATCTCTAGGACTATTTCTTCATTGCCAAAAATTGGGATAATAACATGTCCTGCCTCATACGATTGTTGTGAAATTTAAAATATGGTAATATGTGAAATGTTCTCATTGCTCTAGCTTGTTAAAAATGTTAAGCAGAAGCAGCTGTGTGTGCAAAGGTCCTGGGGCAGTAAAGATCAGGGCTCCTTTAGGACAGAGCAAGGTGTGGGTAGAGTGGAGGGCGTGTGGGCAGGTGGAGGGAGAGAAGGGGCAGAGGAGGCAAGCAGAGTCCAGAGTCAGGCTTTCTGTGCCAGGTGCATGCATTTAGATGCATTTTATCCTGCGAGAACTGGAGAGCCACGGAAGCATATTAAGCCAGGAAGTAACATGATCAGATATGTATTTGGAAAGATGGTTCTGTCAGCAATATGGAAGTGAGTGGGAGGGAGACAAGAGTGGGGGCAGGAAGATCGGTTTGTAGGCTATTTTCAGGGTACAGACAAGCTCTGCTGAGGGTCTGAGTTAGGGTAACAAAGGTTAGGAGAGAGGGAAATGTGTGAAATTGTTCTTAACTACCAGTGGGGATGTCCTTGATAGGGAGCAGTGAGCATCCTGAGTTCAGCGTGCCCTAGCGAGACCCTACTAACAGGGAGCAGAAAGCCTCTAGTGATAACAATGTGCTGTGCCTTACAAGATGGATTTGATGTCCCATTGACTTTTTTGTGTGCATGGTCAGAGTATGAGATTGAGAGGCACAACGTCTCTATTCTAGTTCCTTCTTCGGGCCTAATGTGCTATTGGTCTTTGGGCAAGTCTTTTTCTTATAAAATAAGAGCTTAAGAAAGTGATCCCAGTTCTAGTGTGGAGTATATTCTGATGAAATTAGGGGATGCAGTGAGATCACAAATCGGGAAGTCGAGGACCCATCTGGAAGAGCTTGGGAAGGACACTGGGTCACTGAGTTCTTATCTGTGAAATGGTTCCAATAATTCCCATTTTACATGCTCATAGTGAGGATAAATGCAGCCAGACACATCTTTAACAAAGATGTGTGTTATATAAATATATGTCATTGTTACAGTCACGATCAGTCAGTGGTGTATGTGTTGTGTTGCCAAAACTATTGGATCAACAAAGATTTCTTAATCCCCCAAATACTGAGTTATAGATAGAGTTATAGATCCGAGTCTTTACTTTCTTAAAGCTTTCAGAGCAGGGATGCTGAATATTGTAAATTCTGAAGGTACTGTCTCATTCAAAATGCTAACAAAATCTGTCCCTTCTTATAGAAGAAGCCTTGAGTATTATCATCTTAAACCTTAACAATTAGAAAATAAACCCTAGTAGGACTGCTGTTTTATTTGCAAGTTGAGTATTCCTTATTTGAAGCACTTGGGACCACAAGTGCTTTGGGTTTCAGAATTTTTTGTTTGTTTGTTTGTTTTTAGAATATTTGCAGATATTTAAGCAATTGAGTTTTCCTGATCCAAAAATCCAAAATCCTAAATGTTCCATTGAGCATTTTCTTTGAGAGTCCTGTCAGCTCAAAAAGTTTTAGATCTGGGAGCATTTCAGATTTTGGATTTTTGGATTAGGGATGCTCAGCCTGTATTTATTTTCTCACCTTCTGTTCTTTATTGATAAAAGTTGGTATTGGCTTAGGAATTCTCCTTTCATGTCACAGCTGTTTGCTTCTTCTTTTTTCTTTTTTTATTGAAGCATAATTAATTGTACATACCTGTACCCCCCAGGACACTGGATCACTGAGTTCTTATCTGTGAAACGGGTCCAATGATACCTTCCCTACCTTTGACACATGCTGTACCCCACAGATATGTACAATCAATGATCTTTCAATTTTTTTTTAAAAGAAGCAAATAGGCAGGAAAGAAATTAAGTTTTTTAAAGAAGCAGAAGTGATGATGAGATTTTTAAAAAAGAAAAGAGAAACCTTCTAGGTGCTTGTTATCTAATTATGAAAATTGAGCTTTGAAATTTTGGCATACACAGACAAAGGTCATCATTTACCTTCGCCTTGGTCCTGAGACCTTTGTTATGTCTTATTTATGAAAAACAAGTGAATTTCCCCATAAACTATGGTCACATTTTTTAAAAATAAGCCCTGGTTGATCTTATTTGGTTTTACACTTTGTGAATGCAGCTAATGCTATCAATTAATTTTTTTCTTTCAAGCAAAAATACTGCTCCAAATCGGGTGTGTGTGTGTATTAATTCACTTCTCTTTTTTGAAATTGGATATGTTACCAGAGAACTATTTCTTTAAGAGAGTCCTTATTTTCCCCTGAGTAGCCTTAGACACAACCATTTGATTAAAAATTGCAGTTTTCAATGATTAGTAAATGAGCATTTACTAATAGTGACCTTGCTATTCGTATTTTCAAAAGCATTTGTTTATGCTTGGGAACTTTGCATTGAAAATGAGTATTAATCTATATAGAGTTATCTGAAGACTCCAATCTCTGATTATCACAATTTATATAAATATTGTTCTTTTGAAAATTTACTTTTCTTTCATAATGATTTATATTTTTTCAATCAGCTTCTATACTTAATTTTAGTCAAAAATTTTTAATCTCTAAAAAAATATATCTTGCTGCTAGTCATATCTTGAATATGAGATAGGAAATGTATCTCAAATACAGTGCCTCACATGTAGAAAAATTCCTTTCACCTATTAATACCTTTTAAGCATGTACCTGATTATAGCTTTTGTGAAAGAGATATGCATAAGGGATCATGGAATTGGAGAGATCAAACCAGAAAGATAAAGAAAAATACAAATTCTAGAGATATTACATGTATCTATCTGATTCTATGAATATCTTAACCCATAAGATGAGTTGAAACGTCAAATGATTATAGCTAATATTTGCAAAACATTTTACATTATACATGATGCTTTCACACTCATTTCATTTAGTCCTTGCAAGAGTTCCATGGAGGAGATGCTGTTATAATTACTGTTGTGCAGATGAGGAACCCAAAACCCACAGCTGCAATGACTTGCTCTAGAATAACAGGGCAGTTTGATGGTGCCTTATATTTGTGAGGCTCTTTCAGACACTCTTCTCTATGGTCTTATTCATCTACAACTTTACACTATACGTATTTTGAAAACATCAGTTGGCCAAATGGTTATTTTGGCCTACTCTGTGCTTCAGATTTTTAAGACTGTGTCTTCATCTTTATAAATAAGTCCCTGCATGAGAAAACAGGCCCAGTCAATAGCCAAAGCCATCATGCCAAGGACCCAGTGACCCAGATGCCCACATACTTTCACCTTGGTAGAGAAGGGGCAGTGTCCTGGAAAATCAGACATTGAGGAAGACTGCTGCTTCCAAGAAAGAAAGGCCCTCAAGAGTGGTCATGATGAAAGGAGGACCACCTTCCAATGCTATTCTCCAAAGCAGAAAACATTCCATGTAAGGGCGTCCTAGAGTCTGTTTTCAGAGCCCCTTTGTGAGTACTTCTTGAATACTTATCCAATAAGTGCTCCTATGCATGTTAAGAGGAGTATCTGGAACTGTAAATCTGTGTTTTCTAAACTTCTCCTCTTGAACTTTAAGAAACTTACCTTCCTGGACAGATGTTTTAATAATGCCATCTTTGTTGTGCTTGTTCATTAACATGGTATATTTCATATCAATAGAAAGAAAGCAAGACATAGGGAAGAGGGAAGCCCTTTGTAGAGGACACCTAAACTCTGCCTCCTGTAACTAAAATACCTGATTCTTTCCACACAGTATTCTTCGGTTAATTGTTTTGCTAAATGAATGAGATACAGGTTGCAAGTGTATTCTCCAGAGAGAGCTTATGACACTTTTATCACTGTTATACTTTGGATGGTTTAAGCCAGATGTCCCTAAGTTTTAGAGACCAGCACCTCAGAGATGTTTATCTGCTACGAATTCAAAAACGAGCTGCTAAGTTATTGCTCATCTCCTGGGATGGAAATGTCTTCTGTGTGGTCTTAAGAGGTGGCTATGGAGGGTCCAGCAGCATTCATGCAGGTCTAGTTTTTATGTTGCTAACAGTATTGGGTTTTGTGTTGCCTTTCCTAGGTTTGCTGGGATGGGAAATCTGCTCAAAGTCCTTACCAGAGAAATTGAAAACTATCCACATTTTTTCCTGGATTTTGAAAGTAAGTTCCAAAAATTATAACATAATAATAGAAAAATTTTACTTTTCTTTATAGCTTGTTTATAAAGAAATTACAACATAAATTTTTATATGATACTTAAACCAAATCCAAATGTCACTATGCATTTGCTTCCGGGATCATTTCTAAGATCATTTTCCTTCTTTTTTTCTGTTTTTTTAGAAACTCAATGGAAAAATCTTTTTAATGTGTTCATGGTTTTCTTTGATTTTAGAAGTGATCCGCTTTTGCAGGCCTAGCATCAATCATCATCATGTATATTTTCTAATTTTTTTTATGAATTACTATGTCACATTCTAGAGAAAAATAGTAAGCATAATAATTTACACAGGTGAATATTTATAAAATAAATATCAGTAGACATGAAAGAAGAAAGTGGCTCATGCCAGAAATAAGGCCTGCAAATTTTTTAGTCGCCTCCATCTGTCCTTTATGTGTTATTGGATTGTATAAAACTATTTCAGAATTTTGAGATATATTCCTTTTACACCCAAAATTGTTTCTTTTATCAAAAAGTTTAAAATTTTTCTCAAGTAAAATGGCTTAAGAATCATGACAATAAATACAGAGATTCTTTCTTATTATACTTATTTTATCGATTGAATGTATTTATAAGAAAGTGTCCCATTCAGGTCTAATTAGTTAAGTACATGTTTCTACCTTCACTCTTACATTCTTTTCCTTTATAATTACAGTTCCACAATAGCAAACACTATTAGATGTCTTTCTCCTCCACATGTTTCTACCTTCACTCTTACGTTCTTTTCCTTTATAATTACAGTTCCACAATAGCAAACACTATTAGATGTCTTTCTCCTCCAGTATTTACCATTAAAGTGTTGTGCACTTCAATCTGATTTAAATTTTAATTTTCAAGCATTTTATCTACATTATTAGACTATTCATAGACTATTATTTTAATATAGATAAAAATAATTTTAATAATTTTAAATGATTTTATAGATAAAATTGTTTTAATTTTAAAAATTAAAGCTTCTAAGAAAGATTTGCTAAGTAAATGCTAGAAGATCCTTCCAAGGTGCAATAAACCAAAAGGTGAAAGCTTCCTAGATGTATCTTTTCAGTGTCTTTGGTGTATTTAAAATAGCTACTTGAAAATGAAGGGTCCCCAAAGCTCATATTTTCTGAAAAAAAAAAATTTAATCTAGATATATTCAATGTCAGATGACTCACTTATGATTGTTTGGCATGGCTTGGCTTGGCTTGGTTTGGTGAGGGCAGCCATTAAGAGCTCAAGAACCAGATTGGTGCAATACTTCCAAAGGAATGGGTTTGTTTTTACTGGCTTAACTTTTGCTACATATAACTTTTTTACCGATATCACTTTTGATATATATATATATATATCAAAAGACCCCCACTTGTCTATTTAGCTGCTCTTGGATTCTTGGCTTTCTGTGTTCCCACAAAGTCATGTTGAGTTCTTTGTCAAGTCTAATCTCAAAGGTTTTAAAGTCATAAAAACAAATTCCGCAGGGATTTAAGGCAGTGATTTTCACTTGTTGTTCTCTGTAGCCTGAGATTTCGGAGGCTATGCCCCAGGAATCCTGTTTCCTGCCATTGTACCAGGCAGGGGGAGGGGGTCAACAGAGACCTCTGTTTTTCTCTCTCAACTACCAGAGTACACGGGTCTGCTCAGTCTTCTACTTTGGACATTTTCTCGGAAAAAAAATAGGTCATTATAGCTAAATAGAGCATTTAGAAATTTTGAATTTTGATGATGATGTTTATGATACAAAACCTCCAATTGTGGAAAGTATCTTTTCTTCAAGAGGAGGAAGTACGGACTGGATTCCCATGGCTGGTGGCTTTTTGCTAGGACTAGAGCTATGGTATTTAAGGAAATTATAAAACTATAAATTTATAAAAATATATAAAATCCTGGTTATTTTCCCATTAATCCCAAGGAGAAGATTAACTCTAAGACTCTGAGAAGATAGATAACTGTACTGATGTCATGCAGGGACACCGTAGGGGCCTGAGATGGGAACACAGATGGCTTTGGCTGTCCTCACCCTGCTTGGCTTCCCCTAAAGGCTCATCCCAAGCAGCTGGCTAGAAGTGCCATGTCATCATTCTACCCCTGACTGAGGAGGGGCATCTTAGTCATCTCCAAACTAAGACATCTCATGGAAAAGAATTAGTTTTTGGTTTTTGATCCTGAGAATACTATTTCCTAAAGATGGTTTTTGAGAAAAAATGATGATGGGCTGGAGGGGTGGGGAAGGTGGGCTCCAGTGAGGATTTTTCTTTGAGTCTGTATATTTCAGCTCAGTCCCATAAGCATAGGTCGAGTATGGTTATGCCCATGCATGGAAGTCAAGCAACATCAGGCACACGTGGCTAAGCGAGCACCGTCACTGCCAGTGAAGTCTCAGGCCAGAGTGGAGGGCAATGTAGGCACACAGTCCAAGACAGAATAAAGTAGGGGATATAAGAGAGGCACAGTGTGGCATGGGAGTAAAGAGGGGATACGAGCATATTTCTAGTTTCTGGA